AACATATATAACTGGGTTTTACTCATTGTTGAATGACGTACAGAGTCCTATAGTTGTTAACATCCTCGTATTTTGTTCTTTCAATTGACGCAAAGTTTTCATCATACCACATCTTCTTATTTATAAGCCAATATATCTATTTGTTGAATTAAGATGATACATTTCAAATGTAGGACATAAAAGCCCCGGACACGAAGATGGTACTAGAAAAAAAGGCAGGTTAGAGATAGTTTGTCTCTGATTTACAATGTGAAAAAACTTATTTCATAGTAATATTTTGTGTTTTCTTGAACATTAATAATCATAAGTATAAACAACTTTGTAATCAAAATTAATTCACGCTAAAAGAATTCATAATGATCTAGTGATTATTTAGAAAATTTAGAAAATAGGCTGCGAAATTTGTTATTACTTGACTGGCTTTTAATATGGTACCAAGAAATATATCCTTTGCATGAATAAAATTTGATAGAATCATGTGCATAACAGTGTAGTCGAGACCATTGATTGGCGCGCTAAAATACCCCATTGACTGGGTCAGATTAGGTGAACGTTCGTCTGTAACGCCCAAAACTCACGACGTATTTATTATAGACATTTAAACTGTGAGGTCACCAAAGGGTCTCAACGCCTAAATAAAATAATTCGAAAAACTAATCAGGAATAACCTTTGTGTTTTGATTTATATTGAATACTTACACTGAACTGCGGCCAAGCTTAGCGAAAGGTCGTGCAACATAATCAGTCAAACAAACTTTATTAGATTAACTCGTTAAGGAACGATCGTTTTCATTGGTCAATTCAAACCTTCGACCTCACACCTGCGAAAATAGAACACGCGTACTAAAAAGCTGAATGGACTGATCAGTATTCACGTAGCCGGTCAAGGTCGTTAAAAACTTCCATCTTCGTATTCCCGAACATGATTGTGTTCTTAATAACCCCATGGCAATTCTAGCTTTTATACATGTGCATGTAAAATTTTAAACTTTAATCTTAACAGTCACGTCGAAATATTTAATTCAACTGTCTCCTCTCAATTGGTCCTGGATTAAGGGAGCTACCATTTTATTTTGATTGGGGGTGAAGGACTTGGATGAAATATTTTGTCCTGCATTTTTTTTTAGTCGTTATCTCTGTCCTGTCTTTCTATTTTTCAGTCTGTTAGGTCCTGACTATATTTATTCGTTTATCCTGATTTTTTACATAAATCGTCATCCTGCCTTTTTTTTGTCAAGTTGCTCACCCTGCCTTATCTTTTATTCAATGGACTTGATGAATTAACGTTGTACTTGAAATGAAACCGTACTTAACTACAAAAATAACCAAATTACATACTAAAGATATTGCTCGATTTTTATAGTAAATGGGTTTGTGTTATAAACTGTCATGTTCATTATTCATATTCTTTCATAAGTTTTAGGATAGTGTGATTTTTTTTCTGATTTAGTTTACTTGATTTTGAACAAAAAATCCCGAAATTCTAAGTAAATTTAATAATGTATTTTATTTTATCCTTATATTTTTCATAGTTCGGTACAAGTGCTGCATGCATAAAGACTATTACTTAACACAAATTATTAGTATAATATTTCGACCCCACTATTTGAAATTCACAAAATACTTATTTAATTATTTCGTCCAAAAATCATTGTTTTTTACGTTCGTAGTAACGTAGTACATTCCATTGTCGGTCACCTGTGTCAATTCACGTGCACACAACAATTGTTGTTGTATTTAAATCTTTCGGCCAATGAAATGAGACGTTACAAGTTGTTTGTTTGTGATACGCCAGAATGTTATCAATGAATTATCAATCGCTAAACTTGACTGCATTTCAGTGTAAACGTTCTTTACTTGTGTTTTCGTTATGTTTTGATAATCAGTTTTTATGATATCGCACGTTCTTTCAGCAAAAAAAAAAAGGATTTAACTGGCTTTAAAAGTTACAATGCATGTGTTGATTATTATCTTTTATTTCGGACGTCAAAGCGATTTAACAATTGCGGTTGCATGTCCAATTATGTCATCTTTTAACTTTTTTCTGGTCAAAATTTTATTTTAGAACGAATGCATGATCAACTTTAAAAAGTGTGCGTACACAAAACATATAGACAAAATATACTTCTGTCCTGTCTTTTTCGTACTTGCAAGTTATTAGACAATAAAAAGGCTATTTGAATCAAGCCTTGTGGAATTTGCATTTACGTTTTTGAATAGGTAAAATGTATAGTTTGGTGAACTTTTCTGCTAACTACTATACTTGTGAAAAACCCTTGGCAACAGAAACATTTTCAGCTTTTTTTTTAATCGACCCAATTTACATAGTAATGGACGACTTCGTACATTTTATGATCGCAAATAAAATATGGTTATAATATACTGTACACTGTAGTTCGTATATATACTGAAACCCTTTGGCAACCCCACAGTTTAAATGTTTATAATAAATACGTCGTGAGTTGTGGGCGTTACAGACGAACGTACACCTAATCTGACCCAGTCAATGGGATATTTTAGCGCGCCAATCAATGGTCTCGCCTACACTGTTTTGCACATGATTCTAAGTCTTCATTTATCAATTCTAACGAACAATATCCCAAGCTGTATAAAGAATTTATGTGATAAAAAGAATGTACTTCAATAATTTAAGTTTCTCTAATATATTCAACGATAGTAAACAGTTTTACTATTTAATTGTGAATTTTTGTCCTATCAATTGTGTGACGGTCAGGCGTGGTACTTTGTGCCATTTACTTGTAACTCAGGACTGTGAAAAATTACCTTTACTTATGACCTCATAACATTGTAAAGTCAATCGTTTACTGTTTCAGAGGCGTATAAAACAGATAGTAAATACCTTTTTTTCAGATTTTTTTTACTATAATCAAGAAGGGCAAAGAAGATTCTCTTGAAAGAAAGATTTGTCATTATGCCAAATGAAAATTAAACTATGAACTGTTTTTGACATAGTTAGTCGTGAATTCTTTCTACTACAGCCCAAGTAATTGCATATCTAAATATAATTTTTCTTTCCCTTTAAAACCAAGTGTCTTGCTGATAGCAAGGATTTAAAACTATACAAATCCTTGCTGAAAGTTAACATGTTAAAGGGTTCCCACTGATTAATCAATTGACACATATAATATGATCATACATAGAGTTGTCTTATCTTGCGAACTGGACACCAGATGAGTCCAGGAGATTAGAAACCCAGTTCAAAAGAATTATTTCTTAATTCGAGTTATCTCCCTCAAAAGTGTCCACAATTCTTGTACATGTGTCTCTTTGACACATTCTCAATTTTATAGTGAATACAAAAAGTGTTAAAAAAAATCCGCAAGGATACCTGTTAGCATACTTATCAATAGATATACGAAAATTGACTTGCTTTTGACGATCAAATTCCATTAACTTTGGAACAACCAATCTGGAAATTATTTAAATCCAAAATAAGTTTTTTTTTTTAAACCTGGCATTATGTTAAATTTTCCCGAGAAGTCGTTTAACTATACACGAGTTATTTTCAGACATACGTAAAATCTTAAAAAAACATTTGCAGATAATGTCAAATAACTTCACCAAGCTTAAGAATAGAAAGGGGGGTTCCTTTCATAATTTCTGACATAATAGAAACATTTCATTTTATTCTGTGAAAGGAAACGACTTTTTACCATACGATATATGTTCTTGCGTTTTGAGATTAAAATCCCACAGCTCTGGAATGACCAATCTGAAAAGTTTCAAATTCGACACATCGATTGTCTACATAAGACTTAATGTTATATACTTAGTTTCTATATTTCATATGATTTGTGAAAGCATACTAACTTTATCGTAAGAGATTAAAATTGTAATTTTTTTTTATATACTAAGTTCAATAAATCGAACTATTCATCAAAATCAAAAGGTACCTAGTCTTCATAAAATATGAAATTGAGTAAATCTTTGATAAGGATACGTTAACATATATTTGACTTATATAGAGACACGTGGTCTGACAGATGCACGGAAGGACAGATAGCCGTCGACCAGTATACGCCCATTCATGATGGTCGTAAGAGAAGGTAGTATGAACATGAAATAGAAAGACATTGTCTATTGAATGAGCAATTAAAATAGAAGAAAACAATAATCCTAGCTGTTCTATCTGAGTTCAGGTATTACACAAAATTAAGAAGAGCTGTCCACATAGCGGGACTTGTACCCCCGAAAATGCATTTGACTTTGATAAATGATATCCCCATCCAATGATGCATCAGCATACAAAATTTGGTCGATCAAAATTCTACGGTACACAAATATTGCACAGCACACAAATCAGACAAGGTTTTACTACCATAGGGTTCAAAGGTTCAAAGTGTGACATGACTTTGGTATATTGCACACCCTTACAGATCATGCAACTGCATACCAAGTTTGGTTAACCTATAAGTTTTACGGTACAAAAGTTATGAGCAGGACACGAATTGGACAAGGTTTTGCTTCCATACGGGGTCAAACGTCTTAGTCAAGGTCAGAGTGACATGATGTATCTACATACCAAGTGTAATCAAACAAATTTCAATGGTACAAAAGTTATGCGCGGACAAAATGCGGAACAGACGGACATGGTGATTCCTATATATCCCCCAAACTTTGTTTCCGGGGGGTATACAAATGCCGTGTAGGAAAAGTAAGAAAATACGAAGATACCAAGGAAGCAATTTAATCGTTTATAGCAACATCAACCCCCAAAACGAAGATGACATTCAGTGCTCACGAGAGGTGAGAAATTCCTACTCCAACAAGCAAGTAGCAATTACTAAAGTTATGTCCAGTTATAAGTCACCGTTCGTTTCAGGCATACACTAGTTATGATAACTTCAGTAAATTTTTCTTGGAGAGGACTTAAACTTCACAATTCAGAATCATTATGTTAAGTATCCCGATAAGCCATAACCTTTTACCAATGACATCCGCACCGGTAAAACATAAAATATATAAGCCTTAAAACATACCTGTGCATGTATTTCCAGGACCGAGCACAAAACCATCAGAACAGGAGCATATATAAGATCCTACTGTGTTATTACATACTCCGTATATGACATCACAAGTAGAATTATCCGCTGAACATTCATCTTTATCTGAAATACAAAATATTTGCATATTTAGCTCCTTTATCTAAATATATCATAAATTCCGATCACCGCAAACGGAAGTAAAGAATATATTTTTGCGCAGACGTAAGTATGCACAAATTTTCCTCAGCTCAAAATATAATCTGTAAGTAAAGTACACTGATTGGGTTTGAATGTTATCAAATTTTACATATGTGTTTATCACTTCAGAATTGTAAGAAAAATATGCTCACCAAGACATTAGTGTTCAAGTTGTTGTAATTTACATTCCCAGCAGGCATTAAAGTATATCACTTCTAACTGCAACGAGCCATTAAATATTCTTTTTGTAAAAAAGGTATAATAATAGTATATATTTTTTTTATTGGCTGAGCACGAAAATGTATACATGTAACACACACGACATATAAAAATACATAAATAAGATCTTTAGTAAAGAGAAATATGCAATTTACATAAGGGATTATATTTGAGGGTTTATATTTAGTAACTTGAAGAGGTCACAAAACGATTTCATACACATCTCTTATTAATCCTTTTAACTATGACTATAATGCTTTTAATGTTATCGAATTTAAAATTTGTATTGCTTTAAACTAGAATAATTTGAATATCGAACCGACTGTTAGCAGCCGGTTGGATATTGAATATCGAATAACGAATGACTAACTGGCCGCTACATGCAACTTTATATGCATCTTTTATTACCTGTATACAATTGATCATTTATACAACAGCCGTATTAGATATTTTGTCACATTTGAGAGTATTCTTCATTTTACGTTGTTAAGCATGTTAATTTGAAATTGTACTCATTGTTTCAGTTATATTCGTATTGTTCAAATTTTATCTAGTTACCTTGAAGTTTATGAAGTTAAACGTTAACGATTTGCAGTTGTTGTTTCAGCGTATGAACATTCAGTGTATTCTATAATTCTTAATATATCAATATATCTATCAATAAACCTAAATATTCTATTACAGTAGTTGTTATAGTATTCTTTTATTTGTCTTTGTAATTCATTACTTTTACTGTTTAGCCTATTTTTGGCAGTATCCGTTTGACGTGGCTCGATACTTGTACATCCCGTCATTGTGTTATTGTGCTATGGTAAATTTTTGTATTCTTGTATTTCGTTTTTGCTAATGTGCTTTGTCTTTATACCTTTTTGTTTGTCTTTGTTGACATATTTGCTTGTTTTTGTAGTGATTCATTTGACGTGGCTCGGTACTTGTACATCCCGTCATTGTATTGTTGTGCTATGGTAAATTTTTGTAATCTTGTCTTTCGTTTTTGCTAATGTGCTTTGTCTATATGCCTTTTTGTTTGTCTTTGTTGACATATTTGCTTTTTTTTGTAGTCATTAAGATTATAACACAATGTTGACTGCTGTACCCCTATTTTTGACATTTTTACCTATTATGTCTGTTTGTTTTGTTCACACATCGTTGTTAATATAATGGAATTTTATGAGACTCATACAAGTGAGAGGTTTAGCTGGCTATAAAACCAGGTTTAATCCACCATTTTCTACATAAGAAAATGCCTGTACCAAGTCAGGAATATGATAGTTGCATTCGTTTGATGTGTTTGAGCTTTTGATTTTGCCATTTGCTTTCCGTTTAGAATTTTCCTCAGAGTTTGGTATTTTTGTTATTTTAATTTTTACTACAACCAAGTCGATGTCAAGTTTCTTCCTAGAGGAATCTTTACTGCTGGTGGATTATTCCCCGAGGGCATCATTAACTTGGTAGCTTAATGCATGATGAATACAAAGAACAAACCGGCTAGGACGTCGCCCGGGTTACCAAGGTCCTCTTCTGCTACACGGAACACTGTAGCATTTGATTTTTTATTGGTGAAACTCGACAAACTTTGCGTAAAAGGATGAATCAACACCGGTCTGATAATAAAGATCCGCAATTCAGGGTTCTTTATAACCATTTTAATCAACCGGACCATGACCCTTCTTTATCTATGAAAGTATGCATCATCGAGAAAATTTATCACCACACCAATAGCCCTATACTAAGTACTCCTTTCCGAAAAGATAGAGAAAATTTCTGGATAAGGGAACTAGGTACTGCAATGCCATATGGTTGCAATGATAACATCAAAGGAGTAGGAAATTTGTCAAGTCGAGCCTGCAGTGATGTAAATGTAATAAGCTTATTTAATACTACTTTAAGACACAAACGCAGTCATGGGCAAACACATTACCATCGGCCTAATGTTAAAAAGTCTTCCAAATCTAGATCGCCCTCTCGGGGCTTTGATGACCTTCTTTCCCATCTTCATCATCCGCTAGGGTTACATTAAATTAGAACTATTATTTTTTCACTGCCTGTTAATTTTCTAAAATGTTTGAGAGATTATGCACTTGGCAAAGGATGCATAAATACATTTTCTCCAATATACAGACTGGTCAGTATAATTTGTGATGTACCTCTTTTCCGTCTTTTTAAACCAGTAAGATCGGAACCTTTACATGAGGAAAAGAGGAAATTACTTCCTGTTCAGTTTACCAATAAAGGAATTGATGCAATCAACATAAGCAACGTTCTACATCACAAGGAGGTAACATCTAAAATTCCACTTTATTTTCAAAATCAGTCTGTTCCTATTGTATCCTACAGTTACACCAAAACCATTGCACCTAAAGTATTTAACTATAAGCAAGCATTGCAGGACCTTGATTTAGAACAATACTTAAAAAACCCTATGAAATGTGACTGTTCCCACCCGCCTTATATTTACAGCCCCTCTGGCCATGTTATTACTGGGGATCTAAACATAATTCAACATGAACATCTCCGAAATGTGATAGCTCATGGTCCTAAGTTTAGAGAACCCCAACACATCAATTGGAACCATAACTTCAAAATAATTATGGATTCCATTGAGAACTACGCTAGAGCATGGGCTAACCGAGAAGAAGTTGAACTGGACACTTTGTCAGAATGGGTCAAAACAATCAGGTCTCTGATAAAACGTCGCATTCACAAGTTGAAAAACTGTGTGAATGATCGACCGAAGTCCGTTTTCAGAGACAAAGAGACTGTGAAATATCTATCATCTTTTCACGATAAGTATGTTATTGTTCATGCGGACGAAGCTTCAAATAATATTGCCTTTGTATGTAAATCATACTACTACGAGTGTCTTGTAAAAGAATTAGGAATAAATGAGCACATAGGAAATCCCACATACAAAAACATATCAATTGACAAGGATGAGATTTTGGCGAATCATAAGTCCTTCATGGTTTCAATGAACATTACATTGAACAGCAAATCGGAGGACTTACATTGTTTGTATTGGATACCTAAGCTTCACAAAATTCCGTACAAACAACGGTACATTGCCGGCTCATCTGCATGTTCGACAAAAGAATTGTCCATTATATTGACAAAGATTCTGTCCGCAGTGAAAGAGGGTCTTCAGAAATACTGTGAAACTGTTTACTCGCGTAGTGGTATTAACCATATATGGATTCTAAAAACTCTAAAGAACTTCTGGATAATTTTAAATCTCGATCTTTCTATGAAATTAGTTCTATCAAAACTTTTGATTTTTCAACCCTGTATACCACCATTCCCCATGTGAAATTGAAAAATCGTCTAAAAGAAATAATCCACAATGCTTTTCAACAAAAAATGATAGCATACGCTATAAATTTATTACTTTGGGATACCAAACGGCATATTTTGTTAATAGTGAACAAAAAGGTAAAACATGCTAAACAGAGGAGCAAGTGATCAGTATGCTGGTGTTTCTTATTGACAACATATTTCTTGAATTTGGAGGTAGACTTTTTCAACAAATTGTCTGCATTCCTATGGGAACGAACTGTGCGCCTCTACTTGCCGACCTCTTTTTATTTTCATATGAGTCGGAGCTCCTTCAGACACTTGTCAAAAGCAAAAAGATCAAAGAAGCCAAATCATTTAATTTCACATTTAGATATGTTGATGATGTTCTTTCCATTAACAATCCAAACTTTTCTGATTGGGTTCCATTAATATATCCTTCAGAACTAGAAATTAAAGAAACAACAGACACGGCTTCCTCTGCCTCATTTTAGACTTATACCTCGAATTTGACATAAGCGGTCATCTCAGTACCACAATCTATGACAAACGAGACGATTTTAATTTTGAAATTATCAATTTCCTCCACCTTAGTAGCAATATACCAACTTCACCTGCATATGGAATATACATTTCCCAACTCATTCGGTATTCAACAGCTTGCAGCTGCTACTCAAACTTTGTAAAACGTCACCAGTGTCTGAGCAGAAAGTTGATGAACCAAGGGTATGTCAAAGAACGTTTCGTCCTTTTTCTAAAAAAGTTCATTGGAAGATACCAAGACCTTGTTGATAAATATTCCGTATCAACTTCACAAATAATACACGATGGTCTTGAAGTAAAGATTCTAGGTACTGACGTTGTTTATCATCTTAGTAACGTGGTATAGTATTCTTTTATTTGTCTTTGTAATTCATTACTTTTACTGTTTAGCCTATTTTTGGCAGTATCCATTTGACGTGGCTCGGTACTTGTACATCCCGTCATTGTGTTGTTGTGCTATGGTAAATTTTTGTATTCTTGTCTTTCGTTTTTGCTGATGTGCTTTGTCTATATGCCTTTTTGTTTGTCTTTGTTGACATAATTGCTTGTTTTTGTAGTCATTAAGATTATAACACAATGTTGACTGCTGTACCCCTATTTTTGACATTTTTACCTAATATGTCTGTTTGTTTTGTTCACACATCGTTGTCAATGTAATGGAATTTTATGCGAATGTCATACAAGTGAGAGGTTTAGCTAGCTATAATACCAGGTTTAATCCACCATTTTCTACATAAGAAAATGCCTGTACCAAGTCAGGAATATGACAGTTGTTATCCATTCGTTTGATGTGTTTGAGCTTTTGATTTTGCCATTTGCTTAGGGACTTTTTGTTTAGAATTTTCCTCGGAGTTCGGTATTTTTGTTATTTT